AGTCCCCTATTGGTAGTATTAGTGGGAGGAATAGTCCCCTATTGGTAGTATTAGTGGGAGGAATAGTCCCCTATTGGTAGTATTAGTGGGAGGAATAGTCCCCTATTGGTAGTATTAGTGGGAGGAATAGTCCCCTATTGGTAGTATTAGTGGGAGGAATAGTCCCCTATTGGTAGTATTAGTGGGAGGAATAGTCCCCTATTGGCAGTATTAGTGGGAGGAATAGTCCCCAGTCGGTAGTATTAGTGGGAGGAATAGTCCCCGTCGGTAGTATTAATGGGAGGAATAGTCCCCGTCGGTAGTATTAGTGGGAGGAATAGTGCCCCGTCGGTAGAATTAGTGGAGTGGGGGGGATATCACCCCATCGGTAGTATTAGTGGGAGGAATAGCCCCCCGTCGGTAGTATCAGTGAGAGGAATATTGCCCCGTCGGTAGTATCAGTGAGAGGAATAGTCCCGTCGGTAGTATCAGTGAGAGGAATAGTCCCGTCGGTAGTATCAGTGAGAGGAATAGTCCCGTCGGTAGTATCAGTGAGAGGAATAGTCCCCCGTCAGTAGTATCAGTGGGGAGAACAGTCCCCTATCGGTAGTATCAGTGGGAGGAACAGTCCCCTATCGCTAGTATCAGTGGGAGGAATAGTCCCCTATCGGTAGATCAGTGGGAGGAACAGTCCCCTATCGGTAGTATCAGTGGGAGGAATAGTCTCCTATCGGTAGTATCAGTGGGAGGAACAGTCCCCTATCGGTAGTATCAGTGGGAGGAATAGTCTCCTATCGGTAGTATCAGTGGGAGGAATAGTCTCCTATCAGTAGTATCAGTGGGAAGAATAGTCCCCTATCGGTAGTGTCAGTGGGAGGAATAGTGCAATGATGCCCCATTTTTTGTGTCAGTAGGAAGGACAGTACCCCTAGAGGTCCAGATGAAGGCACCCGGCCCACGGGCCACATTTTGGAAACCACTGGTATAAGGGGCCATCACTGAACCTCATTAATTTGCCCCCCCTGCAGTATAGATGTCTGTGTGTGTGTGTGTGTTCCCGTTTCAGGCCCCATACTGACAAACCACAACCTAAAACCCTACCCACAATCACTATAAAAAAAAACAAAAAACTGTACTCGGACCCTACCCTAAACTCACCATTATCACTGCCACAAAACATGACAAAGCCATTACATTACAAAAAGAGACTGCTAGAGAC